TCAGCCGCCGAATGTGGGACCTGGTGGTTCAGCATCCAGCAGCCCGCAGCAGCCAGCGGCAGGCAGCGGCAGCAAGGTGCACGATTCGGCGCCTCAGGCGCCCGATTAGGCGCCTCAGGCGCCGAATGCTGCACCTCAGGCGCCGAATGATGCGCCTCAGGCGCCTGATTCTGCACCTCAGACGCCGAATGTGGGACCTGGTGGTTCAGCATCCAGCAGCCCGCAGCAGCCAGCGGCAGGCAGCGGCAGCAAGGTGCCCGATTCGGCACCTCAGGCGCCGAATGCTGCGCCTCAGTCGCCGAATGCTGCGCCTCAGGCGCCTGATTCTGCACCTCAGCCGCCGAATGTGGGACCTGGTGGTTCAGCATCCAGCAGCCCGCAGCAGCCAGCGGAGGCAGCGGCAGCAAGGTGCACGATTCGGCGCCTCAGGCGCCCGAGTCGGCGCCTCAGGCACCCGATTCGGCACCTCAGGCGCCGAATGCTGCGCCTCAGGCGCCTGATTCTGCACCTCAGCCGCCGAATGTGGGACCTGGTGGTTCAGCATCCAGCAGCCCGCAGCAGCCAGCGGAGGCAGCGGCAGCAAGGTGCCCAATTCGGCACCTCAGGCGCCAAATGCTGCGCCTCAGGCGCCTGATTCTGCACCTCAGCCGCCGAATGTGGGACCTGGTGGTTCAGCATCCAGCAGCCCGCAGCAACCAGCGGAGATAGCGGCAGCAAGGTGCACGATTCGGCGCCTCAGGCGCCCGATTCGGCGCCTCAGGCGCCGAATGCTGCACCTCAGGCGCCGAATGCTGCGCCTCAGGCGCCTGATTCTGCACCTCAGCCGCCGAATGTGGGACCTGGTGGTTCAGCATCCAGCAGCCCGCAGCAGCCAGCGGAGGCAGCGGCAGCAAGGTGCCCAATTCGGCACCTCAGGCGCCGAATGCTGCGCCTCAGGCGCCTGATTCTGCACCTCAGCCGCCGAATGTGGGACCTGGTGGTTCAGCATCCCGCAGCCCGCAGCAGCCAGCGGCAGGCAGCGGCAGCAAGGCACCCGATTCGGCACCTCAGGCGCCGAATGCTGCGCCTCAGGCGCCTGATTCAGCACCTCAGCCGCCGAATGTGGGACCTGGTGGTTCAGCATCCAGCAGCCCGCAGCAGCCAGCGGCAGGCAGCGGCAGCAAGGCACCCAATTCGGCACACCAGGCGCCGAATGCTGCGCCTCAGGCGCCGAATGCTGCGCCTCAGGCGCCTGATTCTGCACCTCAGCCGCCGAATGTGGGACCTGGTGGTTCAGCATCCAGCAGCCCGCAGCAGCCAGCGGCAGCCAGCGGCAGCAAGGCACCCGATTCGGCAACTCAGGCACCGAATGCTGCGCCTCAGGCGCCTGATTCAGCACCTCAGCCGCCGAATGTGGGACCTGGTGGTTCAGCATCCCGCAGCCCGCAGCAGCCAGCGGCAGCAAAGCACCCGATTCGGCACCTCAGCCGCCGAATGCTGCGCCTCAGGCGCCTGATTCTGCACCTCACCCGCCGAATGTGGGACCTGGTGGTTCAGCATCCAGCAGCCCGCAGCAGCCAGCGGCAGGCAGCGGCAGCAAGGCACCCAA